GGGGGGGGGGCGGCGGAGCTCGGGATCCAGGAGCGCGCGGGGCTGGAGCCGGGGCTGGAGCCGGGGCTGCAGCGTGCGCCCGGAGGGTCTGCCCGGGCCGGGCGGCCGCAGGGTAGGAGCAGACGCGCGCTCGGGAGCGCCGCAGCCACCCCGGGCGCTAGGCGGTGAGAGGCCCCGGCGTGGACAACGAGATCCCCCCTTCCTGTGAGGGACTTCCTCCCGGCCCTCGTCCACTTTCCTAGGCTCCAGGCCCCCGGGGCGGGTGTGGGCAGGGAGGAGGCCATGTGTCTCTCAGGAAGCCCGGGTGCCAGGCCGGGGCTGCTGCCCTTCACCCCGGGCTCCGCCGTCCTTGGCAGGAGAAGCGCACGCTCCCTGCTGCTGCTCTTGCGAGAGCTCAGGTGCCCCGTGTGGTGGCGCGTGGTCCCTAGGATGGTGTCAGGGACTTGGGGGGCTGACGGACCAACGAAGTATTATTCTCTAAGTCTGGCACCAGCCTGCGTGTGTGAGCGCTCGCCTCTGCCCCCCGCAGCCCCTAGTCGTTAGCACAGCTGTTCGCAGAGGCCGGGCATACGGTCAGGACAAGCGGCTTCCCACCCCTGCCATCCTGTGTCATCGGGCCAGGGAGGCCTGGCCAGGAAGGAAGCCGGGTGTAGGGAGAGCGACCTGGGGCCTGGGGACAGGGCCGCCATGCACCCTGCTTGTCCCCGGCTGCCTGCCGGGGCTCCTGATCTGTACCTCTGGACAGCCGAATTCCATCAGAGTTCAAGTGACCCCAGATGTCACCAGGCCCACGGAGGGCTTAGCAGCAAGCTGTTTGGGGCCCTGGGTGCCTGCGTGCTAACCTCAGTGAAATCACTCTGACCTCAGACAGCGCTGCATCCTCTTTGCCTTCAGTGGGGTTTCTGGCCGCCTGAGTAATCCACACCCCAGGGGGCCGTCAGCCCTGGCCGGCTCTCCCATTGCTGGGCTGGTTTTCCTTTGTTTGTTTTTGGCTGCAAGGACAGGGCCAAGTGCAGAGAAGAGCTGTGCAGGTCGCTGGTGCATTTGGGGCCGGGATGGAGAGGGAATAAATTGGGAATACAAATCCGTGAGTTCCTTCTCTCCCTCTCCCTCGGGCAGGAATTTCTGGCTTCCATTCAAATAATTGCTTTGTCTGTAGGGGAGAAGGCAGAAAATCTTTGGCATGAGTGATGTGAGTTCCTGTGAAGCCACTTGTGTTCTTCAGCCCTCCCTTTTCAGCGGAGTGGAGCTATCTGGTCCCAGGGCTTGCTGGGCAAGGGGGCTTGCCAGATCCCTGAGTCAGTGGGCGAGGAGACAGCCCGGCCGTTCAGAAGCACAGCAAGCCCCTGAATAGCCGCCCCGAGAGGCCAGCGTTCTGCTCTGCTGTCTGTGACCTGTCCACTTGTCTTTCCGAAAGTTGTACGTAACTGTCCTATGTATGCACGTTGAAGTCAGCTACAGGCGTTGGTACGGGTCCCGCCTAGGCATTTCCATGCACGTCTTAGCGCTGAACGTTGAATGTGCGCTCTTGATTTTCTGAAGGTGCAGTGTATACCCACGCGGTGAGGTGCACAGATCCGGATGCACACACCTGTGTCACCCTGGACCCCATACCTGTGACTCCCCGCCCCACCCTCCCAGTGGCCCGCACGGCTCCATTTCCCAGCCAGGCTGGTGTGGCCTGTCCCTGGACCCCGCGTACACGGATGTTGCAGCCCCGGGTAAAGCCTCTTTCACGCAGCACCCTTCAGGCTGGGCCGGGCGGTGTACTCCGCAGCTTGGGTGCTTCAGGTGCCGGGTTATATTCTGCGGTGTTTCTGTACCACACTGTGCTCACATATTCCCTGTGGGTGCACACGTGGGTTATTCCTAGCTTTTCGTTTGTCTGGTTATTGTAGACAGAGCTGCCGTGGGCATCCGTGGAGTCTGCCTAGGTTCGTGAGTTCTCATTTCTCGTGGATAAACACCTAGGGCTGAATTGCTGGGTCAGAAAAGTATCCGAAAACTTTGTAAGAAACTGCCAGACCTTTCTCCCACGTGGCGAGGCCGTGTTACACTCTGGCCAGCAAGTCCCATACCCGTGTGGGAGTCCAGACACACCAACCCTGCTGTCTTATCCCAAAGTCAGGAGCAGGCTTTGCCTAGTATCCCGGGGTCGGAAGGACCCAGACGTTGGGACCACCCGGGATAGCTGGAAGGCGTTTTCACAGGTGGAGGGGCTACTCTGCTAGTAAACGGGCTTGCACTTAAATGATCGCAGACGATCCGTCGAATATTTTTAGAGATCTTGGAGAAGGGGATTCCATAGGGGAATACACCCGTGGTTGTGAGAGAAGATTGACAGTGCTTTCTATAAAAGGAAGAATAACCCCACAGCATACAGAATTCCACTAGACTCCAAGGGGGTTTCCGGCCTCTCAGTCTGGCTGATGTGAACTTGGTAGAGGTTCCCAGCCGGGTCCTCTGGCTGTTGAAATATTTGTGGGGCAGGTCAGATTTGGCTTTTTAAGGCTCCGAGGATGGCTTTCCTGTGGAAGTGATTTGGCCTCTCCGTGGGAAACGCGGCCTGTCGACACTCTTCTGACTGTCCTGGCCGAGGAAATGGACCCGTGCCCCTGAGCCCCGCTCTGTGGGGCCAATAGCAGAACCTGGTCTCGGTTGGTTCAGCAAACGGAAAGTGAACCTCTCAGCCTGAGTGGCCCCTGGTGTCCCTGATGACAGAAGGCACTGTCTCGAGACATTGTGCTGTGTGTGGGGACTGTCCCCTCCTCCTTGAGAGCCGGTACAGTGCCTGCCACCGGCAGGGAAGTACACCTTGGCTGAGTGATTCCTGTGACTCATAGTGCCCACCTGGGTGATGGCCTCTGCAGCTGGCCCTAGGTGCACAGATGTCACAGCTCAAGACAGACAGACAGACAGATATATATAGTAAGAATTATTTTGCTTATTGGGACCAGCAGATGGCATAATGGTTATATCGCTGGACTCCCATGTAGTCGACCATGGTTTGAGTCCTGGACCCAGCAACTTGAAACTCACACTGGGCGTGTCTGCATGCATGCCAAAGATCCTGGGCGGAGAGTGGAGGAAAAGGGATTATGGTGTGACCATCTCCCTGGAGGGTGATTTCTCGCATGCTGTCTGTCTGTCTCTTTCTCCAGCAAGCACACACACCCATAGCATAAAAACTCTGTCTCAAAAGAAAAGAATATTTATTTAATTCCATTTGTTGTTATTATTTTTTAATTTGACCAGAAGAGACAGAGAGAGGAAAAATGAGAAAGCAAGCCACCAGGTCCGGGATTCAAACCACTGTCGACCACATGCGAGTCTAGCACCTTAACCACCATGCCACCTGCTGCCCCCCCACATGTTTTCCTAGAGGCCACTGTACTATAGCCAGGGAAACTGGGTCAAAGCACTGGGCAGGGAAACGTGGCCAGCTGTGAACTGTCCTTGCCACTGCACCGTCCTTCATTCAGGGTGGCTGTTGTCACTAGCCAAGCAGAATCGCGGTAGCACCCGCTGAGCGCGCGCTCTTTGCCCAGCACCCTTGATATGCATCATCTGAATCGACTCCCCCCATCTGCACTCCAACCTGGGGGAAACCGAAGCTGCCCAGGTTCCCCTCCCCTGAGGGCGCGGCTCCGAGGCCCTGGTCTGGCAAATGCAGAACCCATTAGAAGTGCAGGGTCCCAAGCCCACGAGGCCATTGGGAATAGAAGTGGAACCCGGGTGGCCAGAGCAGAGTCACAGGAAATGACGTGGGGACGTCACTTTCTTCAGTGCTCTCTGTTTTCTTTCCCTTTCTGTTTCTCGGAAGCTGCTGAGTCTGGTTGTCCGGGGCCTGAATAAAAGTAATTTGGGGCATAATTTAAGATATTGTTCGTCGGTCAATTAGGATTGTATGGAAAGGGAAGAAAGGGAAAGATGGTGGCCAGCTGTTTGGGTTGAGCCTGGACAGGGGCTGCTGTGCGCGTGGCCATTTAAATGTAAATGAGTCAGATGAATTGCCATGAAAACTCAGTTCCTCAGGGGACCAGCGAGTTTCAGGGGGTCCGGGCCTCGTAGCTGCCCCCGAGCTGGAGAGCACAGAGGTGGTTCTGCCTCCACTGCGCCCCGCTGAGCCGTCCCTTTCTCCTGGCCCTTTCAGGACTGCAGCAGAGGTGGCTGAGGCTGAGGCTGTTTGTCACCCAGAAAGGGATAAATTTAGCTGGGTCTTTCTTTCATGTCTGCCTTGTAAAGGGTGTGAGAGAGAGAGAGAGTGTGTGTGTGTGTGTGTGTGTGTGTGTGTGTGTTTGCGCGCGCGCGCATGTGTGTGTGTGTGTATGTGATCTTCCCTTCGGTCACATGCAGTTTTGACGTGAACTCCAGGGTCTCTTTTTCCTGGGGCCACAA